ACGATGCGTATTCCTTGAGCGCTCGTCAACGTCAACATCCCTACAGCCTACTCCCGTATAACCAATGTTCGTTACCAATTTCGTAACAAAATTGATGCGTAATTCTGAAAAATAGTTTAAATTTTCTTAACAATTATTTCTTCTTATGAACTTCAGAATCACAATGCTTCGGAGTTTTTTTTTATCAGCTATGACTATTTATTTTGATTTTTAGATAGCCTAGGTATAAAAAAATTTACTCTCGGCCGTGCGCCCTCTGAGACCTTGCGCCCATAGGCCCGGGCCTACCGGGCCTATTGGGAAATCCGGCCCTGAGGCTGAGAGAGTAGCGTTTTTTGATAATCGCATTGTTAATGCTGACGCTCCCTCTTACGCCAACCAAGAATGGGGAACAATATCTCAAAACCATGCCGTTCAGAAACACAATAAATATGACAAAGCAGCCGAAGACATCAGAGGAAGCTTCACACCATTAATGTGTTCCACAAAAGGAGTCCCCCACAAAGAATATGAAGCGTTTCAGAGGAGAACAAGCGAAGCCCTGGCTGTAAAATGGAGAAAACCATACTCCCAAATTATCGGATGGTTGAGGATCCAAAGCCAGCTTTCCATCATTCGAGCAGTTTCGCTTAGGCTACGGGGAACTAGACGTAAAATTAGAAGCATTCAATTTGAAGATATGGTGCCGCAATTCCCTCATTGCTCTATTGAGCTTTCATTTTATTTTTTTATACATCCCAAGTAGCTAGTATTTTAAAATTAAAATCTTTTCTATGTAATTTTATGAATGAATAAAATTGTTGTTTGCTCTAAATGGCCTTTATTTATCGAGCAATTCTTTGTTTACAACTGTTTCCCACAAAAACTCTTGTCGTATTACTATCGCCTAATACGAAATGCACAATAAATACAAGGGCCGTCCGAAAAGAAACAAATGATTTGATTTTTTGGCGCTGCTTGAGGCAGTGCTTTCAGAGTCGTCTTAGTATCAGAGCGTTCCTACACTCAGTACGCTAGATAGGTAAACTAGGTCTTTAGAAGTAGTAAAGGATAGTAAATAGTTCAGGTGAATCAGACCAAAAATGTGAGGGATTGTGTAGTTAAGATTATTAGACGTTTGCGTCCACTGATACTGAAAAAATAAGTAAGGCTTCATGTCTTGACAAATGGATATCGTCAAGAAAAGCCAGCTGATTCTTCAGGATCAGCCTATAATGATTATGACAGGCCTATAATAATTGGTAATAATTATGTCCAGTTTTCTAATAATAACACTCACCACGAACTTGTCTGCCGAGTAAGGGATGTTGAGCAGTTCTGGGAAGTAGCTTCTGATCCTTTTTCCCAGCAGGTAAAGATCCTGCCTGCCTTGTTTGGTCAACATATCTCCCTGATCTGGGGACATGTTGAATGACCATTCCTTCAGGTTCTCTATATCCTTCATGCACAGGCTGCCTTCTGGAATGATAAAGTACACGTTTAACCTCTTCAACCCTTAAGGTTAATGTGCTAATCATCAAGTGTATAACACCTTCACCTTCTACCTTGAGTATAGTTCATTTGTATAGTTTTTACAAACATAACTCAAAATGCTTTCATTAACATATGGTTGACAGGGTGGATGGTTCTTTTAAGTTGCGACTCAAATCAGGCATTTTGTTACTGTTTGCTGGAATGAATGAGAGAGTGGTTGTTACCTCTCTTTCTAGACTCTCTGGAAACACTACTCCTCGACAACTTATGTCTCTTCATTAATTGTAATGGCTTATCTTAACTAAATGAATCCATTTAAACTCAATGCTTACTGTTATTATTGTAGTTTGAGATTATGTGATTCTTTATGTCGTTAAGTTGTGAAAACTCTGGAATGTCGTCTGCGCTCGGCCACCGGGTCCCGTGTCTTGCTATGAGCCATAACTGGATTGGCTGGCAGTCTGAAACAACATAATCAGTGAACAAAACCAAACTGGGTTGACTTTTTTGGATGTTTTCCTGGCCCGTTTTTGACCCTGTCAGCGCCCTAGGCACAACTAACAGTAGCGCCCCTTTGCAATATATATACAGGGTGTCCACCGACCGGGAAATCCGGGAATTATTCTTGAGTTTATTGAACCGGAAATTATGCGTGAATTTTGTATATCCCCCTGGAATTTTCAATTTACCACCATCACGAATGACAACGGTGACGTATCCGTGACGGCGGGAGACGACAATATGTCTTCACACAGCCGCTAGGGGTTATCAGAATTTTTAGTGATCACAGAAGACGATGATGATATCTACAGAGCCGTGAGGGATGATCAGAATATTGCCGCGATCACGGAAGACGATAATTATCGCCTCACGATTGCAGGATATGTTTAACATTTTGCCGCAATCGTGGGAAACAATTATGATGTCTTCTCGACCGCGGGATACGATTACGATGTCTACAGGACCGCGGGAGACGATTAAGATGTCTACAGTACATCAAGTAATCGCAGTGGGTTATGTTTGCGGGAGATACAATAATAATTTCTACACGGCCGCGAGGGATAATCAGAATGATGCCGGGATCTCGCAAGACAATGATAATGTCCACATGACCACAGGAAAAGATCAGCATTTTGCCTCATTCGCGCAAGACGATGATCTATACATGGTTGCAGAAGTGGGAGACGGATTACAGTTTTGCCGCAATCACGGGAGGCGATTACTATGCTCAAACAACCACGGGGGACGATATAATGATGTCTTCACAGCCGCGAGGGGTGATCAGAATTTTATCGTGATAGGGCAAGACGATGATAATGTATATTCGATCAAGGGAAAAGATCAGAATTTTGCCTCATTTGCGGAAGACGATGATGATCTCCTCACGACCGTGGGATATGTTCATATATTGCTGCGATCCTGGAAGGTATGTCTAACAGACCGTGGAAAATTGTCACACTTTTGCCTCATTCTCAATTGCGGGAGTTGGTTACGATGTTTACACGGCCGCGAGGTATTATCAGAAGTTTACTGCGAATCCCAAATCAGTTTTAAACCACACTCCTTAAAACAATCTACACATGGTCTTGTACCTGATACATTCGAGAGGTAATTTTTTTTAATCTCCATCTTCATTTAGGTAAAAAATACATGTCTTTTTTGTGTCTACATCAGCTAGAAATAAAAGAAACTAAGGGGCTTAAGGTGATTTCTGTAATAGGCAGGATAAAACACTGATTGTTATGAAGGCCCTAAAGATGCATAACAAAATTATCTACAAATTTTAGAACCAAAATAATATAACATTTTTTGCAGCTTGCAGCGTGCATTGAAGACAGAGATAAAATGGTAATAAACAAGAAGCTGTCAAACTGATAAGAAATTTTTAAACTTTGTCAGTCATTGTTTGCTGTTTGTAAACAAACTGACATGCTGCTTGATATCAGCAATTTGATTTCAACATTATTGATAACAAATCAGGTTATAGGATGCAAAAACAAAATATTCTTAAGTGAAACAAAAAACAGTACAGAGTAATGTAACTCTAATTTATCTCTCTTAATTCTTATACTATGTTTACAAACCGAACCATAAGTTTATGTAATTTAAATTTTTATTAAGGTATGGGACTGTTTGTAAATCAATGTTTTGTTTTTTTAGTGGACTATGGATTGAACATAACCCCTTACAGAACAAAAGATTAATTTTAATGTACTTGTCATGTCTAAATGTAGATTTTGATTTTGATTTCTTGTTCTTTAACCAATTTGCAAATTATTTTGTCCAAATAAAACAATACATTGCCCAACGTATGGAATCATACCTGAAGAGTAAAGTTTACATTGCAATTGACTCCAAAGAGAAAAGATTTACAGGAGAACCTCAGTAACAAGACTCTTATGGAAATTGTTAAAAAAGACTTGTTATCAAGATCAAGGTTGATTTGTTATCATAATATAAAGGTTTGCAATAACATGGGACTAGAGGTAAAATCAATTCTATGAGTATGAACATGACCCTTGTTATCGAGGTTCCCATTCAAACTTAATCAGAGTTAAAACGTCTTAAAATGGCTTCAGATTTTACAAGAAGTCTCCTGGCGTAATCAAATTCAATGCTATCACGCTACAACTGTAATAGAATATAGACATACCTGGTACTGCCTGGATACCCTTTTTGTTATAGGCGTGTTCATAAGCTGTCTTTGTGCCAAAATTAAGATAAGGGTTTGGATTATCAGCGTAACAAGTCTCCTGCTTTTGAGATCGAGCAACGGCCAAGCAGCATATCGCTAAAACTGGGAGTGTACTTCTCATCCTGCCTGCAATGAAAAACACAAGGTTAATATTATTTTGAAAAATATCTTCAAATGTAAAAAAAAAATAGATTCTAAAATTTATTTGCATTTTTCATTCTGATCAATTAATCTAAATTATCTAATTAATTAAACATACTTTTTTGTGTACTTTTAACTTGCTGGGACTTTTTCTTTAGGTGAGTTAGTTGTGTTATCCTTACTTCTCCTAACAAAGTTTCCAAAATTTTAATACGACAACACTGTTGCAGAAGAATTCGATAGTTTAAATTTTGTTTTGGTAATTATGTACTAGTATATTATAAGAAACCAAAAAACATTGATAATCTATATAAATAAAATTAGAGTTTTGTCTGTACATTGCTCAGAATCATACATTTTTAGGTTATTTTTACGTTTTATACATTAAAGAAGCCGAAACAAGTCTCATCTAAATTTCTGTCTGTCTGTCTGTCTGTCTGTCTGTCTGTCTGTCTGACACACTCAAGATGGCATTTTACGCAATCTTCTCCAGGAAAACGAGAGTACCTATAATGATAAAGCTTCATAAATTATATTTATTTATTGGTACTGAACACTGGTTTTTAATAGAACTCACCATAAAAACTCCAAAACTAACATAAACACAACAAACAATAATAATAATAAATATTACATCATCTGATTTAAGACAGAATAAATGTCACATGTCACATGTCCTTTTTTTTCAATTTCAATCTTTTTTCTTTTCCATTTTAAATTGTCTCAGTTGGCACCGGTTTCTTCTGAAAACTGCTCCGCTGTCCATTTGTACAAAATAGGAATTCGGGCTTTTGTGTTTCTTGACAACTTTTCCTTTTGCCCATTCTCGAGTTCCCTTTTGGACATAAACTTCTTCGCCCTCCTTTAATTCTGGAAGTAGATGAGCCGATCTGTCATAATATGTTTTTTGTTTTTCTTGGGCTTGCTTCAAATTTAGAACTGTTTCATTGGTAGGGAAGAGTGGTTTCATGGAATCTTTAGTAGCAGGAAGAACAGTCTTTAGTAGTCTTCCCATTAGCATTTGAGCAGGTGCTCTGAGATTAGCTTTAGGAGTATTATTGTAATCGATTATGGCCAGGTTTGGATCTCCCTTGGTCTTTAGCGTTTTAGACAGCATTGACTTTAAAGTTTGTATAGCCCTCTCCACCATCCCGTTAGATTTTGGGTAGTACGGAGACGAAGTTATATGCTCAATTTTATACCTTTCTGTGAACGTGGAAAACTTGTGGCTATCGAACGGAGGGCCATTATCGGAGTGTAATTTCTTAGGCAGGCCATGAGATCTAAATATCTGTGTCAATCCTGCAGTTACTGAATCAGCTGTTGTTGTACTCATCTTCTTTACTTCCACAAATTTGGAATGATAGTCAATCACTAGCATGTGATTGGTTTTGTTAATTTTGAAGAAATCAACTCCAATTTCTTCCCATGGGATTTCTGGCACTGGATATGGTTTAAGAGGTTCTTTTGGGTTTGATCTTTGGTATTCCTGGCATGTTGTACATTGGTCTACTGTGTTTTTTATGTCTCTCATCATTCCTGGCCAGTACCAAGCCATCTGTGCTCTGTTTTGGCACGAATTAATTCCTTGGTGTGAAGCGTGTAGTTGCCTCAGCATGTCGGGTCGCAGCTCACTCGGAATAACAAGTCGGTCTTCCATATATATCAGATCATCGTATAAATGTAATTGATACCTTTTTTCCCAAAAAGGGTGAGCTTTGTCATCACAATTTTGTTTGTGTTCAGGCCATCCATGTTCTATGTAAAAACGTACTTGCTTTAGTGCGGCATCCCTTTCTGTAGCATATTTATGTCTATTTACTACATCGTCATTAGCAAAAACTGCCAGGGAGTAAACTACCTCAGCTCCGTTGTCCAGATAACTTGTGTTTAAATGTTCATCTATTGGAGCTCTCGACAGGGAGTCTGCAATGAACATTTTTTTTCCCGGTACGTGAACTAATTTAAAATTGTATCTCATCAGTTCCATCATCATTCTCTGAAGCCGTGGTGATAGACTTGCTATAGGTTTGTTTAAAAGACCAAGTAGAGGTTTGTGATCTGTCTCTATTGTGAAGTCTGTTCCATATAGGTAATAGTGGAACTTTTTACAACCATTTACTACTGCCAGAAGCTCTTTTTCAATCTGGCTGTACCTTTGCTGAGTTGCTGTTAAAGCTGAAGAGCTGTAGCCGATAGGATGGTCATTTTGAAAAACAACGGCCCCGAGGCCAAATTTGCTAGCATCTACAGACAAAGTAGACTTCTTTCTTCCATCAAAATAGGCCAAAACAGGAACCTTTGTTATCTCCTCCTTTAATGCTTCAAAACATTTTTGTTCTATACTTGTCCATATAAAAGACTTGTTTTTGCTCATCAGTAATCGTAGTGGTCCTGTTTTATCAGATAGATTATCAATGAACCTTCCTACATATGTAATAGTGGTCCTGTTTTATCAGATAGATTATCAATGAACCTTCCTACATATGTAATCATTCCCAAAAATCTTTGGAGGTCATTTTTATCCCTAGGGCTCGGGTAGTCCTGAATAGCCTTCAGTTTGCATTCGGTTATTGAAATACCTTGTGGAGTAAGTTTGTGACCTAGATATTGGACACTTTCACGGCCAATCTGGCTTTTTTCTTTAGACAGCTTAAGTCCAAAATATCTTGCCTTTTCTAAGAAAGCAGCCAGTCTTTCATCATGTTCTTCTTTTGAGTTACCAAACACTAGGACGTCATCTATGTATGCACTCACTCCCTCCAATCCACAGGTTACATGGTCCATTGCTTTTTGGAAAATCTCTGGGGAACTATTCAATCCGAAAGGTAGTCTACAATAACTAAATCGGCCAAAAGGAGTAGCAATGGTGCATAACCGAGAACTATTCTCTGATAACGGTATCTGTAGAAATGCTGAAGAAGCATCCAGTACACTGAAGTATCTTGCACCATCCAACTGTGAGAAAATTTCTTGGAGCGTCGCCATTTTGTAGTGTTTCCTTTTTATATATTTATTAAGAGTTCTTGGATCAATACAAATTCTAACTTTACCATTTGGCTTCTTTGCTATTACAATCGGATGTACCCAATCAGTAGGTTCGCTTACCTCTCTTAAAATACCGTCTTTGACCATTTTATTTATCTCTTCCCTAACTGTATCATTTAAAGCTTTAGGGATAGCTCTGGCAGGAATAACTTTAGGAACTGCGGTATCTTCAAGTTTTATATCATAAACGAATGGTAATTTTCCTAGCTCATCACCAAATACATCATAAAACCTATCGTACACACTTTCACTTGGTTTAGTTATTTCATTTACTCTAGAAATGAGATTCAGTTCTTGGCATGTTTTAAGCCCTAATATGGGACAGGCATCTTCATTCACAATGTAGAATTCTGCTAAAAAATTTCTTTTAGAACCCCCCAGTGTACAATTTAGAAGGCAAGTACCTACAACTTTGATGTCATGCCCACTATAAGACTTGAGGCGTTTACCTGGAGTCGTCATGTTAGCGTCAGGAGCTATTTGTTGATAAAGCTTGTAAGGAATAACATTGACGTCGGCGCCAGTATCGAGCTTAAAAGATATGTCAACCCCATTTACGGTAATATTCTGACACCAACTATGTTTTGAGTCTACAGTGTTGACAACAATAGTTTCAATACTTAAGTCCTGACTCTCGCCACTAATTCCCACTTCATTAGGTTCAATGTCCTCATTAGATTCAATGTTATGAATGTTTTGGGCCTTACAGGCGTTTGCAAAGTGATTAAATTTCTTGCATTTTATACATTTCTTTCCCCAAGCAGGACAATTTCTGTAATTGTGAGTTTTTAAACATTTAGAGCAGACTTTAACTTGTCTTTTATTTGTAATGTTACTCGAATTTGGTAAAGTAATGTTATGAATTTTAGATCCTACATTAGTTGTTTCGTCAAGTTGTGAATCAAGTTTCATTAGTTGCACTTGTTTTTTACTCTCCTCCCTAGCCGTGCAGTAGTGAATTGCTTTATCAAGTTTCAAATCACTCGTCATCAACAACCTTTCTTTACACGCTTCATCTTTAGTCCCTATTATCAATAGATCTCTTACAAGGCTTTCTTCCTGATCCCCGAACTGACATTTTTTTGCCTGATTTTTTAGACTAGTTACAAATGACTGAACTGATTCGTCGGACTTTTGCCTGAGGTTAAAGAAAGTATACCTATTAATAACAGTGTTTACTTTAGGCTCAAAGTATTCGTCAAAACATTTAATTACAGTGTCTAAATTGTCTTTTTCCCCATCATCCAATTCAAAGGTGTTGAAAATGTCTAGGCAACCATCCCCCATTAAACATAGCAGTAAAGCAACTTTGATTTTCCCCGACTTTTTAGATTTTTCAGTTGCTTCCAGGTACAACAGAAATTTTTGCTTGAACTTAGTCCATTCATTTAATGTGTTGCTATTTAAATCAATAGCTGACGGAGGTTTTAAAAGGTCCATTATTCTATTTAAGTTTGTATATTACCTTTACCGCTGCCACCAATGATAAAGCTTCATAAATTATATTTATTTATTGGTACTGAACACTGGTTTTTAATAGAACTCACCATAAAAACTCCAAAACTAACATAAACACAACAAACAATAATAATAATAAATATTACATCATCTGATTTAAGACAGAATAAATGTCACATGTCACACCTATCAAGACCCAAGTCATTTTAATGTATTCACTGGATTGGCGAGAGTGTCTTTAGCCATTAAAATTTGGTCTCACTACTTTGTAATTAAAATTACGGCCGTTCAAAAATGCAGTTTTGTGCGATTTTTGTCAAGTTTTCTTCCAATTTGTATCACATAATCATCTATGAAACAACGAACAGCTGTTCGGATCAAGATTATTTTTTCTAGCTGTCACTGAAATGTTTACAAATGTTGTTTACAAACACCACAACCATTTCTGATCACGTTTTGAAGGCAAATCCCATCCAAGTGAGATTAAAAACGTTTTTATTACATAAAGGATTTAATTAATCGCAAGTGGAATAATATAGTGTAACCGTAAATTAAATAACCAGGCATCATCCAGGTCAGGAACCAGAAATATGTGTATAAAATTGTTTTGGAGTTTTGATAACCAGAAAGAAGACATTGAATAAAGATTGAATCAGTGTTGTATACGGCTGGGAAACTTAAATTTACTAATGACCGTCGCCAATAGCTTAGAAACAATGTTCCACTCATTGACGGCTCTTCAATGGCGGTTGTGTAAAGTGTAAAGCAAAAAATTACAACTGCAGTGGGTGATTGTAACAGAGGTTTACGGATGATGCTGAACTCGATTTTCCAGTGTGTCACTTTCTGTTCCTACCATTGACTATATAAAGTCAATAGTTCCTACTCACCGTGTGATGCAATCTGGACCATACAGCCAATAGGCCCATAGCCCTTCTCTTGGGTACGTGTGGTACGTATGCTTACCCAATTATTTATAACAACCCTTTCGACAACGATCCTTGATACCGGTACTTTTCGATAGAATACACGGCCTACCTAGGTACTTAAGAAATAAAATTATAAACGTCCAAAAACCCAACGTTGTGTGATTTTTGTCACATTTCCTTATAATGTTAATATATATACCAGCAACCATTGTTTAGAGAATACGTAATCTATTAAATAACAGAAAGTTATGTTGTATAAGGTTTTTTTCAAACTGACACCGATAAGTTTACATTAAGAGTTGTGTACAAATAAAGCAATTAATGGGAAATAACTTTGATTGCCGATAACTTTTTACGAGAAAATCCAAAACCAAGAGATCAATAACCTTGATTAACGCATATAATTGGTCGGCTGTACTACAGTTCTTAACGTTGGTTTTTGGTACGGAACTGGTTCTTTTCCTTTTAACCTTTAGTAGCAGCAAGAATCATTTTTACGTACCAACACATCACAGTAATTTACAAATTAGTTATCGTTGGTGTTGCACCTTATTTATTACAGGCGTATGCCTATTCAATTTAATTGATGTCTTAACTATATAATTTTTGCTTTTTCTGTCTGGATTCCAAAATGTTATGCTAAGAAAACTATAACGCATTTTAGTAAAACATTTATTCAGCAAACCATCATGAATTGTTCAAACACTTTGAACGTTGTTTATGTATCAATAGTTCGTGGCCTATTTTGGTAATTTTTATTACAAATTACCAATCTAAATCGTCTATAGTAGGCCTACTGTACTTCATTTCATATAGCAAACCGATTCAGATAGCATTTCGACAGAATTTCGAGTCATCTCCGGTCCAAGCAAATATGAATTGTTATGATCAAATTTTATGGCATTAACAAAGATTTCAAGTACTAATTTTATATGTACCTTTTTATGCTTAAAGCGTAGCAGATTCCCTAATTAAGTTCGGTATTTTTGTGTGTATGTATGATGGTAACGCATTAATGTCCTTGTTTCTCAATGTTTCACGGAAAGGACAAGAGCGCCTTGATAATGAAAATGTCAACCCGAATAAAGTGTTAAATTAAGAGGTTGAGGTAGTACCTTAAATACTTTTAACCATTATGTTATAGTCCTTTAAGTTCTGAACAAAATTGTACAAATCCCATTTCCGTATATTTACTCTCACCGCTTACACATGATAAAGGTTGTTGACAAACTTATGGGAGAAAGTATGTGTCAGAATGCTGATACCGTTTATTTAGTTTAATCATTGGATATAACATATGGACCAACAAGATCCGGGTGACATTTAATTGCGAAGTATTAGTTTTGGCTTGAAACTGTCAGATACTGTATTTGCGAAGGAATAGTTTTGTCAGCATATCTGAAAGTATGCAAACCAACTGCTGAGCTTTATATAAGAAGGTTTTAACTGACTATGATAAGATCCCCGTGCGTAGAACGGGCACACAGCTAGTTCTGAAAATAAGATAAAATGACTTATCATAGAAAGAAACCAAATCTAGACAGTTATTTTATCCTTTTTTCATTTGTATGTTTAAGGTTTTATGTAACAAAGAGTACCTATCAAATTTGTTAAATTTTACCTAGATTAGAGTTTGTTATACAGGGTGGGGCAGGGAAATATCCCTACTTTTAAGATGGCTCTGTGAGTAGTATGGGTGTACTGGAGGAATGGGGTTAGGCTCAAATGACGCTGTTGCTTTGGGATTTTCTAAGAATATCACTTTCAGTTGTAGACATGGCTTACTTGAGTGAGCAATGTGCTTTTGCACTCGAGATGCATTAAAAAAAAAAAAAATCAGTCTATTGTTGCTATACAGCTAGCTTGTGCTGCAAACTTGTTATCGGATGGCCTGCCGCAAAGCTGTTACATTTTGGTGTGGGCGAAGGACTTCCGTGTACGTGGTGGTGTATTGCAAAGGATATTTGGTGCTCAAAGAACCATCTGAACTCCTGAAAACGTTTACCTTGGCAGAAGATCAATAATTTTGCAGTCTTCTCAACGTTCTGCTTGTAAACATGCATCCGCGCTGGCGTTGCCTAATCTTACTGTGCCTCGTATTCTCCATGAGGACCTACACCTCCATCTATACAAGCTTGTAGTTGATCATGAACTCACACAACGGGACTGGCAACAACGAATGCAGGCATGTGAAATCTTAATTGCGGGATTGTCTCATGTTGCTCGGGTTTTGTTTAGTGACGAGGCACACTTCCATATTCCTGGAGCGGGTAAATAAGCAGAATGTGCTCTATTGGAGTGATGCTAAGCCTAGGGTAGTTCAAGGGAAGACCCTAGATGCCTTGAAGGATGCAATTCACCTCGAATTTTGCCTCTTTCCACAACACATACTTCACAAAGTTATAATGAACTCCAGAACCAGAATACGGCAGTGTATTTACGATTAGGGACACCACATGCAGGATATGCTGTTTAAAACCAAGTAAAGTTATATTAAAATAAACTCCCAGATGTAACCTTTTAATCCCAATATAAAGTTTGGTTCTAATATTC